GACAGTTCATGCTTGATTGGGTCTTGACTACTACTGGAAGTGTTCGGATAGTTGACACTTCCCAGCCGTCCACACCACGGAAGATTATTTCTTCTTAGGGTACCTGAAAGAGAAAAAGATTCGTGTAACCGGAGGCCATGGAAAATCTGCTTGAGGCCTGTCACATACAGCCCTATGAAGATTGTTGGTATGTGGTTTGTTTGTTCTAACGCCGGATAGAAAACCCATACCACCAGCACCGGAAAACCACGAGGTAGGGGTGTGTGTTAGTTTGAGGACCAACGTTATGTAAACTCCCCTTCCCACGGGAAGCCAGTGTCAGAGTGGGATTGCTGGTAACTCAAGGAAAACACCTTACTTCTGTTACACTCCAGGCAGGCAGCAGCGTGACTTCGCTGTTGGACCCCCATCATAGTGTAGCAATTTATCTGACACCGGAAACTGCTTTTCGTTTTCCCACTATCCAACAGACCTTTAGGCACGGTAGGATCTCGAGGGAACAAGTGTTCTAACCAGTAAAGCTCGTTGGGTTATTGTGATATACAAACCCGATCGCCACGTCAAGGTACCAGCTATTAACCGGGCGACAGGCTTCGGAACACAGGCATACCAGCGGTTGACCTGAAGACAATATTGACCTACGAACTAGAAGGTGTCTGGTTGGTTTGGAGTACGCAGACAACACTTTCTTATTAGACGAGGATGATGAAATAATGCAGGGTCTTCCGAACGTCTTAACCAGAAACTTGAGTATACTTTTTATACGTTTTGTACTCGTCAACTGAGGATACGTCTGCAGCTACTCCGAGTTTAAGGATGGGTTGTGAAACAGTTGAGTGCGTTGACCATTTCACACTAGCTTCGGAAGTGGCATAAACTCAAACTGGTCGGTTACTATAGAGGTTTAAGCTCGGTTACAAAAGATCCATTTGGCATTTGTCAACTTGCGTTATTTTTGATGCCAATTAGTGAAATATAGGACTATCCATTAGAAGACGAGCATACTGCGCTGCAGTCTGCTGTCACACGATCAGACTGCGAGATATGGCCATTAAAGGTGGAAAATATGGAAATATTACAGGTTTTTAATCGCAGGTGTCTTTGTAGCATTGCTTACATATGGGGAAATCATCATGTGAAGAGTGATGAGATTAAGGGAAGGGTGTTGGACAGTTATTCACCTAACCTCTCCCGACCAATCTGATGAATCCGCGAAATTCACCCTTCGAGTTTCTGGAGATTCGATGGCTAGCTCTCGCAGTCTTGCAGGTGTAGGCATAGCATTAAGTACTAGGGCAGGCAGCTCACTACTAGACTGGATCCCAGTTGATAGTCGCCTCTGAGCTGTCCGGCTGTTAGAACTAAAAAGAATAATGAAACTTGCTGCTGTCTCCTTATAATCTCTTCTTGTGCACCCACTGACTGCAGTTCGGATGCAGTGAAGGACTAGTACTACCGGAAACTGTCTAGCCTACTTTCGAAAGCCAAACGCTCAGATGTGGTGGTTGCTGCAGGTGATTTCAACGCACAGGTGGGTAGACTGAGTGAGGCAGAAAGGCACTTAGGTGGCACTTTCGGAATCCCGCTGAACGAATAGACAACGGTGATTGCCTACTACAACTGTGTTCAGATAACCGCTTATTTTTAGTTAGCACAGATTTCAGACACAATGAAAGACACTGTCTGACGTGGTGTCCACCGAGCTCAATTTAGCGATGGAAAGACAGACCACATTGCTATCAGTTATCGCTGGAGGGGATCGGTGGAAGACTGCCACTTCTTCTAGAGTATGTGTTTGGATAGAGATCACGCGTTGGTCCGAGCACGTATATGCCTGCGTCTCAATGGATGTCGAAAAACTTTCGCAACTAGACCATAAGGAATGCAGCTGGACAATGAGAGCACTAAGGCTTTAGGTGAGAAATTGGCTAGGCAGTTATCGGAACAGAACACTATCACTCATCCAGAAGAAGCTTGGTGCCATCTCCAGTCTGCCGTAAAAGCAGCGCTGAAGACCATAGTCGACTCCGAAAGAGTGGCAAAAAAGAGACAGTGGATATCAGCAGCTTCTTCCGAACTAATGAATGCACGTGAACACATCCATGCAGGCTTAGAATACAATGAAGAGCGAGCACAACTTAGAAGTAGATGGAGAAGAAGTCTACGCAACGACGCCGAATAGTGGTGGGCAATGAAAGCTAAAGAGATGGATAAGGCAGCGGCGAATGGTAACAGTAGACAATCATTTAAACTTATTGAGGAGACTGGGGGGAAAAGATCAACAACGGTTAGTGAGACCATAGCGGAGAAGGACGGATCTGCGATTCAGTCGCAGAGGAGACGACTGGAAGGAAGGGCAGAACACTTTGAGGAAAAGTTCAACTGGTCTCCAGCCACCACTACGTTGCCTGCTATCCAGTTGAACCCTGAATAGAACAGTGAGATAGGCCCCCCAACACTAACAGAAGTCGAGAAAGTGGTAGGTAACCTGAAAAGAGCAAGGGGAGCAGGACCAGACGGACTAACCTCCTGAGGTATACAAGGATGGTAGTAAGGTGCTCTTAGTCAGGTTAAAGGAAGTGTTAACCGGTACATGGGAATCAAATACAATCCTCTCTGACTGGTCTAAATCACTGATTATTCCAGCCTTCAAGAAAGGCGAGAAGTCCTCTTGTGATAATCACAGAGGAATCAGCCTGACGAACATAGTGTCCAAGATCCTAGGTTCTATAATTCTTCGACGCCTGAGTGGAGCTCGGGAACAGCAAGCCCAAGAAAACCAGGCAGGATTTAGACCCGGCAGCGGGTGTATCGACCAAATATTGACACTGCGCCAGGTCCTGGAACATAGACACGCTTACAGACGCCCGACAATAGCTGTATTTCTCGACCTTAAGGAGACGTTCAACTCCATTGATCGAGAAGTCTTATGGCAATGTCACTCACCGAAAGGCGTGCAGAGTAAGTACATTACCTTATTGAAGGCTCTCCACTTGAACACCTGTGGGCGTGTCAGAGCCTATAGTGAGATGTCAGGTGAGCTGTATACGTCGAGTGGTGTCCGTCAAGGATGTCTACTCTCCCCATTTTTATCATAAATATTCTTATGGAGATCACCCTCTGGTCACCTGACTATACAGAGGTTGACCTAATCACAGGAAAATTCTCGTTAGACCTAGAATACCCAGATGACATAGTCCTGCTAGGTAAAGACGCTGACACGATGCAGAGCCTTCTGAACACTTTGAGTGACAATTTAAAAATGTTTGGGATGCGTTTCTCACCACACAAATGCGAATTGTTATACCAGGATTGGTCTTCAATGGTGCCTCAGCTAAAAATACAGAGTGAGCGTGCCGACCACTTCACTTACCTGGGAAGTAGAATCAGCCCTGGTGTGATGGCTCAGTGGCCGACGAAATTTATGCACAAATACAAAAGTATCGGTTGGCTTCTGCCAACTTACGCCACCTATGGCGCCGCCGTGATATCTCATTGTCGATTGAGAGTCGCGTGTACTGCACAGCAGTCCACTCTGTTCCACTGTAAAGCAGTGAAACATGGTCATTCAAGGTGGAAGACAAGAGAAGGCTTCAGGTGTTTGACCATTGTTGCCTTCGTAGTATGGGCCGTATTTCGTGGTGTCATCATGTGAGTAGTGAGTAGCGCAGATGTCAGGTGTAGGGTTTTAGAGAGTAGAGGTAAATCTGTTGACACGGTTGTGAACCTACCTTCATTGACTAAGGTGGTTGGGACACGTGTTACGTATGCCTAGTTGCCGATTGTCTCGTCACACAATGTTGGGTGAAGTAGGTTCAGGCTGGAAAAAGGCCCGAGGTGGCCAGACTAAAACATGGCATCAACGTATAAAGTGTTTGAGTGTTGGTTTGAGCCATGCAAAGGGATGCAGATTAGGTGGTTGGGGTCCGCGGGACAAGAGGAACCAGTGCTTGGAGACTGACTGTTGGTGATCACATGGCTCAGAACCGATGTCAGTGGTGCAGATGTATACACACATCATCTTCATCTTAATGACGCCATACCGAATCTCACCATTTTCTTATTCTCCCTTTCTCTCTTTTCGTACTTTATATTTCTTTTGACTGAGTTTTATTTTCTCCATCTCCCACTTCACTGCCTTTTTACTTGATGTACTGATATGAGCCATGGCAACTCGGACCGTTACGCAGTAATGCCTAGTCCTATGTTGATGATGATATTGTGAACCTTCATCAACTACGGTGGCATGGGCATGTATTGCGCATGCCGAGCGACTACTTACTAAGCAAGACGTGCAATATTAATTGAAGTAGAATTGGGTCAGAATCAGGCTTAGGGTGATCAGACCAAGACAGACAGGTAAAATTAACACAAAACCTCACAAAGCGCATCGGTTTAAGTTGCCAAGTGGATAGAAAAGGAGAGATATCAAATTCGACAAGAGTGTATAGAAAGAGAAAGACTTTGAAAATCAAGGTTAGTGAATATGTCGAAGATTTAGATGTAAAAGAGTGAATACATCTGCTCCATTGACACCGATTTTCAGACCAAGATGTGGCAACAGTCCAAGAAGTTTTGGGCATTTGGTTTGAGCTGTGTAGGAAGGGGTAGACTACCCTGGCTGGGGTCCTCAATGTAACAGGAATCAATAGTTGCAGATCTCTGGCGGTATTTCTGAAAATTGGTCACAATAGTGTAGATGTATTCGCTGTTTGACGTCTTCGAAGGTTTGAGCATTTTCACCGATCTTCATTTCCGCATTCATGCTTCTGAAATGCCGTGAAGGTTTGGTGATCTTAAACAAATGCATACGGAGATATGTGAAGTTTAACACAAGAACAAACCTGGAGTACGAGCTAACAAGTAGGCGAGAAACTGTCACTAATCATTTTGGTTTGCCTAATCCATCCTTACGGCATTAAAGCTGTATTCGATGGGTTAGAGAATATCAACAGTGAAACAACCACTTGATAAGAACAAAGCATTACATACCTCATAAATTATTCAACTGCATTGCCAGACTCTGAATCGTCGTCTGGATAATCATCATCTTCTACAGTTTCATGGCAACCATATTCAGCACCTCGACTTCTGCGGTGACAAGGGGGAGATGGCGACCTAAGCACCCGCTTGTTGCAAACTTCATTAGACCCTTCCGAATCTGAAGCGCCAGTTGTAGACTGTGCGCCCGATTGATCATGTGAATGATCTCTTGACATACTGGGCGAACTACACTGTTCGTTATGGACTGATTCTAGAGTTGGAGTTTCACCACCACTATGTTGGTGGTTGTCATCTTCATCCTCAGCATCCCAGTCACTACCTTCATTTGTTTCTTCAACTTTGAGCGAATTTGAGGGATGATGATTATCAGATAAAGATTGTTCACGCTTTACGTTTTGCTTTCCAAGTGATGAGGAATGTTTACCTGTGTCATCTGATTTATCTGACTGGGCATTGGATCTCACAGACTTTTCAGATAACTTTTCACTCTCATTATCACCAAATCGGCGAGACATTGTGGAGCATACCGAAGAAATAGAGTTGGATGATGCAGAAGGCGATGAAGGAGGAGATGGAAGCGCATATATAGTTAGGAAATGATCACTATGGCAATGATGCATTAGTCCCCAAGCAGTGGAAAAGTTTGCACCACAATATGCACATTCCAGACTTTCTGGTTCGCCAGCTACAAAATGCACGGAAAAACATACTCAAATGGTTTCTATTACTAAAATCGTGCATAATTTTACCTAAATATTGTATACATATCAAAAAAATTAATGACAATTATTCCAAATCGGTTTTTAGCACTATTTGGTTGGGGTATTTCTGTCAATCTACAATGGTGAAATATGAACCTGGTTACATTTCCTCCAAGTTCGAATTTCTGAGAAAACATGAATCTACTCAAGACAGAAACACCTAGTTAATAAGAGTTACGAAGCGAGGAAACTAGGTTTATGGCGTCTTGGCAACTGACTCTTAACGTCTAACCACAATAACAAAAATAATTTCAAGCGGAATAACCCATGATAATTGGTCCCAGAAGATCGACTGAAATGGTTGTCGAATTGAATTAAGACGGCAAATACAAAGCTAGATCAAACGGATATAAACCAACCCAGGGTACACAGATTTCTGGATTAGATAGTCGAGAAATGTTTGATTTACCAAAAGGCAGTTAGCTCTTGGCTGGTTATTTCTTACGCCTCTTTAGTTAGTAGACCATTCTACTATGGATTTACCAGTAATAATCGAAGTAGTTACAGATTAATCAAATAAATACCAACTGACCATTGCTGATGATTGACCGTTTCCAGGTTGGTCACATATCTTTTCGATTTTGCATATATAGGAAACTGATTGACCGTGAAAAATAAAGTTAAGAACCCTGTAAAAATATCAGCTGGGAGTGAAAACATCCTTTCTGAAGGGAGCTAAAGATACGACTAGTAGATTACAAAAGTCAGTAACACAAATCGTTAACCATTACCATATTTCAGGAAAGGGACATATGCCTGACTGACAAAATCAACGTAGAACCCCGTACACAAGTGCATCAGCTCAAGTTGCCACACTTGGTTGCCACAGTGGTACACAAAAAAAAAACAGGTTAATAGGAAAAGTGGTCAAAGTAGAGAAAGTTGTGTGAGAAAGATAACGGTTAGTGCGAATATTCAAGCTCTAGGCGACAGTGTAACCAGTTTTCAGCCATGTCACCAAGAGTCGTCAGCTACTGATTCCTTTCGGCTTGGGGGCCCCAAACAGGCAGTCTAATCGCCCCATTTGACTCAGACCAACAGTAAGAGACTTCATCGACTGGTGCCAAGTCTTGATTTGGTTACTCTGAACCCTCTCCCAACCTAATCCAACCTCCCATAGCATCGCACGTCGAGGTAGGTGGAACATGTACAGCTGATTAGCCTTAATGATATAGTGAACATTCGTCTTTGATGGCAAAATAGTTTTATTCGGAAAATGTGATGTGTGGTGGTGTAGAAACATACACTGGGAAAATTAATCGAGTTGTACAATCCAGGGTGGCATAACATTCCTTGATATTTGAAACTGAGTATCCTGATAAGTAAAGGGTGGTAGACAGACATGATCATATACAGGCAAACATCTTATAGAAACTGGTCATAAGATTGACCTTAGAAAAAGCCACTAAACAACTATCTAGGAGCTGTTGGGGATGTATGCTCAAGTTCGCTGGTCTTAGCTATAAGAACTATTCAAATCCTAGACTCAACTTTGTAGTCCTCGGTTTTATACTGAGGGTAATATGAAGAGACGTTATCCGTCCTTTATCATCTCACATTGAGAGATCTTCGGTTCCCTAAATAAACTTTTTTGACTTCATTCCATTTTTAGTTTTCGCAAAAACTGCTTTGATAAGTAAGTGTCATGAGACTTCGAAATTTATTGCGTAGATACATCACTTTTTCAGATAAACTTCATCCTCTCATTAAATCATGCAAATTAATCCAAGGAACTAATTGTTTTTCGACTATAACAAATGACATGAATTAAATCCTCGGAATGTAAACGTGATTGTGCGATTTCGACACGTTTAGTGATTACAAAACTGCATAGTCAGTAAAAAAAACTGGAGAGCGGAGAAATTTTGATAAATCACACACAATTACTGTAGGATTATCGGATATTTGCAATTTAGGGGAAATGAGACAAGGGACAAAATGTGTTTTCAAAATATTGGCATAAGAAATCGGTGATTGGATGGAAGTGTGCTTTGAGCAAAGGTTGTTGATAATAGAGCTCAGTAGTTTTCTTCAATGCAATGTTATTAAATTCCTCATATAAATTTATAATTCAAAATCCTACTGACATAAGTAGATCTGGCCTTATTACTGGTTGATATTACTCAGTCAGTATGGTTGTATTGAGTTGGCTGATACAGACTATTTGTCTTTGGGGAATGTTGTGAGATATATTTCCAAATACGTTGTTCGACCTTGACATGTTGAATCTTGTTGATTGATTGAGATGTGCTGGACGATTTCCTTAAGTTTGATTTGATTTGTTGGTGGTGAATAGAAAACAAAGATTATCATACACGGTTATTCGTCAGACCAAGTAGTATTTTCCTTGCTTTTTTTAATTATGGTTCTAGTCGAAACCCACTCTAATAAAGTTCTTCGAGAATCCTCTTTTTTTACTGGTTCACAGATGAAGTCCAAGTCTATACATATTTTTGTTGTCATTTTGTTTGTGTCATGCTTCTTGAAATTCTCTTGCCAATCTGGAGTTTGCATGACCCAAAATTATAGTATCTTCTCAGTTGTTGAAATGTTGTGAAATTAAAGATTTTACACTGTGGTGCCTGACTGCCGTATGATGGTTTGAGACACCTTGCGTTATGGGGTAGCTGGAATTTTCAACGTAATGGTGACCAAATTTGACCTCGTAAATCACATTTGATTTTCATTCTTTGGATACTGGGTCTTTAAGTTTGTGCAGTATATTCTGAACCGACTTTGTCGGTTTATGGGGCATGTCTATCTCGAATGATCTGAAGTCTTCTAATTGATATGAGTAAAAATTGAGCACTGCGGTAGCAGTTAATGCCATATTATATTTGTTTATTCGGCATGCTCTTTATGTGCTGCTGTCGAGTTGATTTGTCTTTCTGTAAATCTAGGTCTGTAAGCCCCTATCCAATGATCTAGTAACGAAGATATTTAGCAACGCGAGTTGACTGTCTCTTTTTCCTCTTGTTTAGTCAGTTACTGAACAGTAACTAAAGTTAGGATGACTAGTTTCTTGCAGTGACCAGATTCTAAAAGGCATGAAATGCGGTTACTGCTTTAAATGACCCCACATCACGTGCTTTGTTGTTGCATCGGAAGAAATAAACAGGAATACGTTTTCAGATATCATTAACAGATTTTATTTGCATTGAGGATTAAGTACTATGCATGACTGTCAGTGTGAACCCATTCCTGACACTTGTACTTGCTGAGTCGTCGGCTCACCTTTTTCTCTTCCTCTTTTCCCTTCCAGATTCTCGTGGTCACCACTAAACTCATACTGCTCTACGCGCCCCCTGTAACAACGTATCTACCTGCCTACCTACCTACAGGCTAGACGAAAACGTATCAACAGCTGGTCATTACACACTGAATTACGAAAAAAAGGACGAGAAGAGAAACAGATAGGAAATTTTTCCCCTGTCTCACCTGCTTTTTCAATGCAGCATTTTATACTGGTAAAAATCATATTTGGGTCTGAGATGAAACTCGAGTTGTGGATTTAAACTAGTAAACTAAGGGTTACCTATTGCACGCTTAAGCAGAGACGAAACACAAACTAGAGCTTCACGTGGCTTCGATTAATCGAGAACTATAATAGACAAATACACAATGGTAAGTAACTCATCATAGCTGTCATGCATATTCATTCCTGCATACAGATGAAAAGTATTAACCAAGGTTATTCTAGAAAGCCCCGTTACTTAGCTATTTTTGGCTCTAGCAGTCAGTATGACCACATTAAATTTTGTTTTGATATGATGTCAGGATGGAAAAGCGAACAGTTAATAATCTAAAACGTTGGATCGAATACTAGCAGTTAATTAAAGTATGAAATATCTAGATGACCATAACCACCAGCACTTAACAAAAGTGTCTTGTACGCAGCCCAAATATAAAATAAAGATATAACACCTACCAGCCCGACAGCGACAACTACTCTCAGTATCCTTATCCAAGCTGCAGCCTGCCATTTTATGTGAAATAAGTTCGTCAACTTGTTCAAACAAACGGCGACAACGTCCACATATAAGAATGTCTTCTGAACGTAACTGAACACCTAGTAAAATACGCAGAGACAAACTAATCTTTAGTTATCGCTGAAATGGAACACAGCAGTCTTCAGCCTGAATCAGGAAATAATACTCCCTATCATACCTTAAAAAATAAGACCTAAGAAATGCTGAACTCAGGAGTTTAACGCCAATACTTAGAGAAATTAAAAGGATCAGAATAGTCCAAATGAGAACGCATGTAGAATAATCAACAGACATAGCATCTCATCTAAGTTTTGAAGTCGTGATTGTTGAACAAACCTTATTTAAAGATGGTTCGTGATGAGCTAGTTAGTAGAGTTGATCTGGACGAAAATGCATATCTGGATGGCAATGAAAATAATTTATTCTGCCCTTTTGGATTACCGCAGTGAGGCACACACTTTCAGAGCATCGGTTTGCCTGTCTTTAGTTGACCAAGATAGTACTTTCTTTGAGTGTAAGAAGTTTTAAATATATACACTATCTGATGAATATATTCAACTTCTATATATGTTCTGCATTAGATTGGATTGTCCTTAACTTTTATCATGTTTCTCCTCATATGAGTATATTATCTATCTGTTGGCCTAATACTCTTTTAGCCCATAATAGCTAAAGTTACGCATGCAATAGATAACAAGCAGATTATAAAGGTTGTGTTTACCTGACTGAGGACTGCAACCTTTTGTTGACAGGCCCGTGGGGTTTGGTTGCTGAATAAAAGGATGACGGTCGGATTCAGAGGAATCACTTGAATTCTGTGAGCGATTCTGGCGAACAGTGGAGTTTTTTTTATCAATTGTTTGTAAGTTTTGATTTGTACTGGTTATGTTTTTGGGATGAGAAGCCACAGATGTAAGGATGCGATTACGAACTGCAGTATTATTTACCTGATCAGATACAGAACGAACAGGGCCCGAGTTTGTCACTTGGCGCCGACTTGCCGGTGGTGCCAGACTATCTGTTGCAGAGACGAGTGAGACTAAATTTTGTCCTCTAGCTCCAGCAGGTAGCGAAGAATTTGAGTTGGAAATATTACCAGTAATACCGCCTAACACTCCATCCAAACGAGTACGCTTGGCGGCGAGGGAATTGGGGGTTGCTGAAGACGTTGTTGTGATATTGGATAGTTTTGTAAACTTATTACGTGGATTGCCGACTGTAATAGCTGCTTGAGGTGTAGAAACACTTAGACCAGAAAGTGATGGGGTGTGAAAAACAGAATTTGCTGCTGCAGCAAAGTTAACGAGATTAGGCTGGCCCATAATCCCTTCCAGACCGAACTGCTGCAATGACAGTACAGAACTCCCAGCAATACTGCTAAGAGCCTGGGCTTGTAAAGCGAGCTCTGAAAGGTTCGTACTAAAATGAAATCAGGATAGAAACTCATCATTTAATGGTGAACTCTCACTAAAAAAGTATATATCGAAAACTTACCGGAAAATAATACCACGGATTAGGCAGACCGGGAATAGTAGTGTTTTAAGAAAATAAAATACTTTTGACCTCAATGTACTAGTCAACTAAACCCATGAAGCAAATTTACATCGAATCTAAAAGTAGACTAGGTAAGTTTTACGTTTATTTTCAACAGTCTAGTAGAACAAAGCATTGCTTGAGGATTTAACTTTTAAACAATACAAGAAAAACAGAAAAGATTAGTAAACTAGATGAGTACTACCATAGCAAAACAATTAGTGATGAAGAATCACTACGTCCAGTTAAGTTTCTGAATATGGTTCTAAGTCACATCGACTGATATACTCGATAACCATGACCTGGTCCAGGTGCTCATAAAGTTAAGGAGTCATTCAGTAGTGCGTTCCCCTGCCTGATCTTCTTACTTGTCGTACCTAAGAACGCCCCCCTTCCCCTAAGTGGAAGTCAAGAGTGAGAAATGCATGACGAGGACATTTTATTTATAGTAAGGCAAGAAATCTCAGTGGCTTAAGTGTAATGTCCGTTAATTCATGATTTTTCTGTATGGGAAAGGTTTGAAACTGGTCTGTAATTCACTTCCAACCGTCATTTTCTATATATGCATTGAAGAGTACAGCATTACTGATTTTCATAGTCCACGTCTGTCTGCAAACCAAAAAATAATTCAGATATGCTTAAAACGGTGACGGCCACTAATCCACTGTACTAGTACGCTCAAGAAACTGATCCCAGAGGAACTTCAACTGATAAAACTTCGGTAAGAATGTGAATGCGTCACTTACTCTGAACAAGTTCTTGTCAGCTTGCTGACTCAACTGCCTATAGAGACAAGGTAAACAGTGTTTCAATGTCTAGTGAAGCCATTCTTGTGCTCATCACTAAATCTTAAACAATTTTAACCTACAACAACAGCTGGTGAAAACAAAAACACCTACTTAGTTGTTTTCAGCTTTGGTCGGACATTTCACTATGGAAAACGAATTATGGTATGGGACCGTTGAGTGAAGTAGTTGTGATTTACATACATGGAATTTTTGACAAAAGGGAGGCATGATCGTGAACGACCGTAAACCAACCAAATATGGGTGCTGAAAATGTCTTGAGATTCTACAGTGGCTTTATAAATCACGCCAGACCGAAGTTCAACTATACGTCAGCCAGTCACTAAAAAAATTTTCCAACTTGGAACAAGTGTGAATATTGAGGAATGGTCAGTGTACAAGCCATTATTTCCCTTGAAATATACTGAACACAAGGAATCATTCATTTGGATGTTAACCCATCCGCAGGTAAATGTACAACTTGAACCGAGGGATTTTTCTAGGAGTTTGAGTAAAATGATTTGAGAGACGGGTTATAGTTCAGAAGTGAGATGGCTTACAGCAACTTAAACAAGCAAATGTATTGAAAACCCTTCAACTAGTTGAATGACACTCCAGAGAAAAGTTAGTTCCCTTCGCGTCATAACTAACAAGTGTCGACGTTTTTGTACTTAAATGTTGCATTCAAACGGAAAGGTTCCTTGTCTACCTAACACATTTCTCATGTTCAAGAAATCTAATCTGTACTTTTCAAATTATCTGGTCAATTAGTGGTTGTACTAATTTATTGTATACGCAGTAACGTAGATCTTATAAAATGGACCGGAAGCTGCTCATTTATATTTTTAGTGAAACTGGGGCGAATTATGGTAAGCAGGCATCGTTTTGTGTGTAAATGAACTGCGGTCCAAAAGCACAGACAAATTCTGGCTAGAGGCAAGTTGATTCATATCGAAAGGCGGACGTGATGCACATAGTATATATATATATATATATATATATATATATATATATATATATACACTGACATCTGAGCTTGGAAACAGTAGTTTATCACCAACAAGCGAACGTTCATACATACCTCAGTGCACCATGGCGGAGCAAGTGGTGTTTGCACCAAACTAACGAAAAGAAAATACATTAGACTCAGAGTAGTTAAAAGAAACAAAAACAACTCAGTAAAACTAGACACAGATTTTGAAGGAGAATCGTGAAACCACATATTGGGAGCGAGTTGTACCTTGTCAGTGGGTTCCTAGAAGGGAAATGATTAAATTATTATGATGACAATGTAAGTTACCAAGACTGTAGCGATGAGGCAGCATTCGATCTCCCTCGCTTCCGGTTCTTCGGCTCGGACGCTATTGTAACATCTGGCATGGAAAAGATACATACACCAAGATTAGAAATTTGCCAATGCTGCTATGACATGTGGAGAAATGGGAGGGGGGGGGAGGCGGGCAAAAATGACAAACGACAAAACACTCATGGTAGAAACCTTGACGTCATATTACCTAGAGCCATATTGTAATATGTCTTGGAATCTTCACCGATAACCGCAGCGCGTGCATTAGTTTCACTTGCATACTGAATGAAGGCATAACCTTTGTGCACTGATATTCCAACCACAGCTCCATATTTAGAAAATATTGACTCGAGCTCTGTTTTGGACATATGCACTGTGTTTAGGTTTCCGACGAAAACACGTGACTTCAAACTGTTCGGATCCGTCCTGTTTGTAATATTGCTAACACCAATCATCTCCAGGGTTCCGCAGCCCGAATGGCAAAATACGCGCCACTTATTTCCAATATCCAATGTCGATAGTGCTAGCGTAGAAAGCGGGTAGTTTTTGATCTCTCGCGTCCAGTTCTTAGGGCTTGGTTTGAGTTGTTCGGTTCACTCCTGCAGTGAACGAAGAAATCCCCTCTGCTTTCTTGTTTTTAGCTTCGGTGAGGTGGATGTTTTGTGGGTTAGTAGGTTGTAACTCGTAGAGTGATTGGGGAGCTACGGGTCTCTGGGGAGTTTAGGGAGCCGCCGTAACTCCTGTTTGTGTAGGTACCTGAAAGGGAATTGTAAGGTAGTGATAAAAGAATGAAGAGAGAATAAAAAAGAGAAGAAAAATAATATAGGGAAGAGAAAAGGGAAGGAGAAAAGAAGGGGTGAAAAGAGAAATAAGAACGAAAGAAAAGTATTTGGGAGTTGCGCGAATGGTCGCATGGGTTTGGTTCCTACAGAAGAATTAGTAGGTAATGTGAGTGTATTAGGAGGGAGGTAGTGGGTGGTAGTTAGGAGGGAGTTGGGGGTCAGTGAGGTTGGTGACTACCTGAGTACGTCCGTGGTAGTCCATGAGAAGTGATATGGCTGTCGAATCGTCTCTTGAATGAGTCGACTGAGGGAGTTATAACGATGTGTCGTGGTAAGGCATTCCATAAAGCACATACCTTTAGGCAGAAAAATTTGGACCTGAGTGTGGTGTTGGCTCTCTGGTGTGCTATCTTAATGTGGTTTCCTCGTGAAGATCGTTGAGTTGCAGGCAAAATTGATTTGTTTGCATGGTCTGCCCGATGGGCGATCTTGTATGCCATAATGAGGTCACCCCTTTTCCCGCGATAACCCAAGGCAAATAGGTTTAGGTGTTTAAGTCTTTCAGGATACGTCTTTCCCCTTAGCCCCACAACACATTTTGTTGCAGTTCTTTGGATTCTTTCAAGGAGATTAGAGTCTCTCTTGGGTGTTGGAGGAGCCACCGTATTGAGGACCTCAAGGTGCGGCCGCACGTAGGATTTGCGAATGGTGAGGAAGAGTTCGGGAGTGAAGGCGCCAAGCTGTCTACACAGAAAGTGTAGAATGGCGTTCTCTCTGGTTGTCATACCTTTGTAGTTGGAGCTGGTGTCCAAGGTGTCGGAGAAGTTGAGCCCCAAATCTTTCTCCGTGGACACTCTGCTGATAGCACGGTTGCTCAGCATGTACCTCTTTATATTTTCAAGGGGGTCAGGGTCTCTCCTGAGTGTCGGGAGAGCCACCGGACTGAATACCTCAAGGCCCGGCTGTATATAGGAGTTAAACTGTGAGGAAGAGTTCGGGGTGGGCGCACCGAGCTGTCTACGCGGGAGGTGCAAAGTGGCGTTCTCTCTGGTTTCCATGTTTTTATAGTTAGAGCTGATGTTCAAGGTGTCGAAGAGGTTGAGCCCTAAATCTTTCCCCGAAGATACTATGGTGATAGCCAATCATGTGCTGGAAGTCGACCATACTTGCCTAATATTTACTGATGTGCATTACTTCGCACTTTTCCAGTTTGAAGCTCATGCCATTTTCTGGTGACCACAGCTCGAGTTGCTGCAAGTCATTTTGTATCGCTGCACAATCAGCTTCTTCGTTTACCACCCTCCAAATTTTTATGTCGTCAGCGAAGAGGAGGATGGGTGAGGATATTTTGTCTGGCAGATCGTTGACAAACAGGAGGAACAGAAGCGGTCCTAGGATTGCTCCTTGGGATACTCCTGACGTCGAGGGTCTCCACTCCGACCTTATTCTGTTCACTTTAGTGCAGAACTGCCTCCCTTCCAGGTACTCCTTGAACCAAGAGAGTAGGGGTCCACTTATACCAGCTGACATGATCTTGTGAAGCAGTACTGTGGGTGGGACACTGTCAAATGCTTTGGCTAGGTCGAGAAATACAACATGTACAGGTTTTCTATTATCCCAGCTTTGTGTCCAGTCGTCCCAGGCGGTTAGTAAGTTGGTGGCACATGAGCGACCACTACGAAAGCCGTGCTGAGCAGTGGACAGTGTTTTCCTATTGAGGAATTCCCAGATGGTGTCAGCTACCAGGCTTTCCAACACTTTCGACACAATAGGGAGTAGGGCAATCGGCCTGTAGCTGCCAGGGCTTTTTCTGTCTCCTCCCTTGAAGATGGGTGACAAGATGGCGCTCTTCCATTCTTTAGGGAGTTTGCACGAGTCTATTGAGTGCTCAAAGAGGTTGCGAAGTGGTTTGGTAAGCACCTCGGCGCAGTTTTTCAGAACCACTGGTTTCAGGTTATCGCAGCCAGGGGACTTGCCCGGACGTAGCCTAGATAGCTTCTCGAACACCTTTTTCTCTGTAATAGAGACGTGACAGAGGTATTCGTTATTTGCGACCTGGTCGGTGTCGTGGCGAGTCGGTGTGGATCTTGTGTCAGTGCTGAGTTGGGCTTGGAAGTGTGAGCTCAAAAGCTCGGCAATCTCTAGACTGCTTAGCACACTCCCGTCATGGCCTGTGACAAGATTCACTCCCTTACTGGTCGACTTTCTTCTTGACATGAAGCGGTACAGGTTTTTGGGGTTGCTTTGTAACCTCGCTGCCAAGTTTGTTTGGTAGGAAAATCTGTCGTTACGCACTCTAATGTTACAGAGATTGCGAATCCTTTTGTAGTTCAAGAAGTCAGACTCCCTGCGTGATGTACGCCACTTGAACCAAGCCTGCTTCTTGCTCCGGATAAGCCTCTCTGTCCCACGCTTTAACCATGAGGTTCTTCATTGTCTGTGTGTTACTTCTGGTACACTGTGACTGATGGCCCCAGTGATTATTTTCTTCACCTCCAACCAGTGTTCATCTATTGTGAGATGAGTCCAGTCCACTGGCCATGATGCATTCATGAGGTAGTCCCTCATGGTCTCATAGTTGGCCTTGCTGTAGCAAGGGAAGGTGTTGGGTCTCCAGTTGCAGAGCCTCCCTAGTTATCATGGAGAAGGTGATTACAGCGTGGTCACTGAGGCCAAGGGGAGGTTGGATGCAAACATCCTCAATGAGAAGTTCATCGTTCGTCAGAACGTAGTCAAGGCGCGATGCGTTTCCGTTAGGTCCCCAGCGTGTAGCATCACCCACTTTCTCTGAGAGGCCAGCAGTCTTAATTGCATCCTTCAGCTTCTGATTGAAGGATCTGATGCGTCTCCCTTCCGTCTCGAAGAGGATGGACGGGGTGTTGAAGTCGCCGGCAATGACTACGGAATCGTAATTTGCAGAGGAAGTCGTTAAGATAGCCTTGATGATCATTTCCTTATGTGTAGGGGAGCAGGTGGGGGACCGATATATGACTCCGAGCAGGTATTTGGTACTGTGGAGAGTGAAGTAGCACCATAGGACTCTGGGAGCTGGGTTAAGGCCGTATCGCTAACCATCCTTGCCTTTAAACAGAGTTTACGTAGATAGCCACTCCCCTCCTGCTCTATGTTCCCTGTCCCTGCGGAAGAGTTCCATGCCAGTAACATGCATCTCTTCGTCGGAGATGTCCGATGAGAGCCAGGATTCGGTGATGAATATGATGTCGGAGTGCTGATGTTCACGCAGCGTCCTCATTTCTGCTACCTTCCCTCTTAGCCCCCTAACGTTGCTGTACATACATATTAGAGTGTGCCTGGTGAGGGGGAGGTCTGGTTGTGTATTTTCGCAGGATGAGCGCTTATGTGGTTGGGTCTACCTCGCCAGTCCTCATAGGACTGGCATTGTTCCGTTTTTTGTGTTTTGTTTTAACTTGGGTGGGGGCTGTGGCAGTGGTGGCTTCTTTACTTGATGTATCTAACTCACTGGTCAGCGCCTGTGTGACGACCACTGACTCCAGAGGTCTTGGTGGTTGTCGTCTCTCCTCTTGCCTTGTGGGTCTAGGCTTACTTTCACATATACGTATTGAGCCACCCATGCGATCCTTCGCATTATACCATGCCTGTAGAACGTCTGTGAGGGAGGCATATGAGTCGAACTGGACGGCGAGTAGTCTGGGATTGGGTATGGTCTTCAGGTGCGCTGGCCTTGGCAGTCTACTGACGCTGTTGGCCGGTATACTGTTGAGACCAACTTTGGTTGAGAGCCATTGCCATTGTTGGACGTCGTGAAAGTACCGATCTTTGACCGAGCGGTCACTTGGCAATTCTGGAATCCCATGTACAACTATAGTGTTGTTTCTGTTGGGATTTCCAACCGCTGACTTTCTCTCCTCCTCTCTTATTGACCATGGCTTGTCAGGCCTGGCCCGAATTTTACAGGCATTAACAACGTCCGGTTGTCGCGAGAGGAGGAGTGTGTCTTCAGCCTCTTTGGCGGTATTTAGGGACACACGTAAAGGGGGTGGCTTATCTCGGGGTGCACGGCTTCCTCGAGAAAGGCGACAAAGTTGCAGGGAGGGGAGGGAGTCCCAGCATCTGACAGTAGTCGGTCCACATTCGGCTGTCAAACCGTTCCCTCTCGACCAACAATGAGTCTGTCGATACATCGACGTTGAACAAAATGATCGAGTTGGTCCTCCTGTGACCTGGGTTCGTTGTGGGTGGCACGCCCGACTTCCCAATGGGTTTGAGTAATTCCACTGGTTGTTTCTCAGTCACGGTGTGTGGGGTGTTTGGAATGGGTTTCGTAGAGGCTTCGGCGGTCGATGTCTTTGGCCATGCGCTTGACGTCCCCTGGGGCCGGGTAGGGGGTATGGAGACTTGACCTAATATGGTCCCCACGCGAGGTGGCGTGCCCACAGCTGGAGCTCTAGGTCTGTTTCCAGGTCTCTCTGTGTTATCCTTTGGTGTTAACCCTACTTTATTCGAGGATGCTGGTAGCTTTTGCGTGGCGGAGAGCATCTCCTTCAGGCTTTCTGTGCGGAGTGCGGGCATTTTCCTGCACTCTGGACAGATGTACCAGAACCACTTGCATGGTTGTCTCTTCATCAGCTTATAGTATTGTCGGGGGACTTTGGTGTCGCAGTGGCAATGCGCCCATCGTTGACATAGGTTGCATGCAAATGCCTC